GAGTTCCAGGACAGCCTCCAAAGCTACAGAGAAACCCTGTCTCGAAAATCAAAAAAAAAAAAAAAAAAAAAGATTGATTTTGACCTGTGCAAGCTCCAGCCAGACAAAATCCCGGCACCGAGGAAGGAAGATGGGCGTGAAATCTCACCACTAGCTGCGGAGCAGTTGGCATTTTTTTAAAATGATGTGACCCCTGGTAGGCTGACCACAAACCAGGGCAGACCCCACCCCCAACACTGGCTGGGCAACCCAAACTGGACTGGATGGTGAAAGAAAGAAAAAGAAGGAATCTCAAGAACAGAAGGGAAGGGATGGGAGGGTGGTTATGGGAGGAGTTGGGGAAGTGTGCATGTTAAAAACTGGAAAACTAAAAAAATTAATGAAAATATTACAAAAACGTTTTGTTATTTATTTTCTGTGTATGAATGTTTTATCTGCATGCATGCATGTACTCTGTATACACCTGGTCAGAAGAGGGCATTGGAGTTATGAATCTTTCTGAGCCACCCTGCGGGTAACGAAAATCAAACATGGAGTCCTCTGTAAAAGCAAGAAGTTCTCCCAACCCCTGAGCCATTCTTCAGACCCAGATTTGTTTTATTTTTTAATTGAGTGTGTGTGTGTGTGTGTGTGTGTGTGTGTGTGTGTACATAAATGCAGGTGCCTAGGGACATCAGATCCCCTGGAACTGGAGTCACATGTGGTTGTAGGCTTTCTGACTGGGTCCTTTGGAAGAGCAATATGTGAGCTTAACCACTGAGCTAACCACTGAGCCATCTGTCCAGTCCAAGTCACATATTTATTAGCTGTTACAGGAATGTTTTCTAGCTCAGTTAACTTTAGATGCTAATTTCCAATTTAAATATCATCTAAACAGGTCGCCATGTGATCCCGGGCAAAGAGAATGCATGAGGCTGGTGTCCTTGACAGTAAAGAGGAGATGATGGAGGAAGTCCTGTGTATATGTTGTCTTATTGGCTGATGAATAAGCACTGTTGGCCAATAGGAAAGCAAGATAGGTGGGACTAGGAGTCGAGAAGGATTCTGGGAAATGTAGTAGAGAGAGTTGCCATGTGATTCTGGGAAGAGAGGACACATGAGGCTGGAGTCATTGGTAAGATAAGACCTTATAGGCCGGGCGTTGGTGGCACACGCCTTTAATCCCAGCACTCGGGAGCAGAGGCAGGTGGATCTCTGTGAGTTCGAGACCAGCCTGGACTACCAAGCGAGTTCCAGGACAGCCTCCAAAGCCACAGAGAAACCCTGTCTCGAAAAAACCAAAAAAAAAAAAAAAAAAAAAAAAAAAGATAAGACCTTATATAAAAATATATACTAGTAGTTTAGTAGTTATGGGTTAATACTTAAGACAGAAGTAGCCAAGGAGAAGCCCTGGACATTGGCTGACAGCATTGTAACAACAACAACAACAACAAAAAATCATCTAAACAAAGGTAGAATTTAGTAAAACAATCTTGAATATTTTCTAAAGCAATGAATGGAGCCAGATTTAGATGTGCAAGCCTATAATCCCAGCTAGCATCTGAGAGGTAGAAGTTGGAAGATCAAAAATTCAAGGCAGGCCTCAGCTACATAAGGAGATGCAGGTTAACCTGGGCTATATGATATCCTGTCTCCAAAAAAAAAAAAAAAAAAAAAGGAAGGACAGAAAAAGAAGACAAAAAAATGGCAAAAAATTTTAAAATTTGAACTTTTTTTACAAAAGCAAATTTAATGTTCTTATTAAATTTAATATTAGAAAAATTCAAAAATTCACACAAATTCGATTAATAGATTTTCTACTCCTGTTTGCCATAATAAATTTATCTGATGATGCAGTAAGCCAAGTCAAACCAACCTGAAAAAGTATAGCAACAGGTATATTGAGCAAAGCAACTCCCATGTGGGTCCAGAGATCAGAACCAGAGAAGTTGCACCCCCAAACTGAAGCAGGGAGACTTTATAGGTTGTAGGCAAGGGGTGATGACCTGTCTGCCACAAGACTTGAGGGGCTGACAACTTTGGGAGAGGAAGTTGTGTGTGTGTGATAGAGAGAGAGAGAGAGAGAGAGGGAGGGAGGGAGAGAGAGAGAGAGAGATGGGGAAAATGGGGCTTTTGGGACCGTGTGCAGGAGAGAATTGGAGGCACCAACTGAACGTGGGTGAAGCGAATCATTCTAGAGATTACCATTGGAAAACTGCCTTTTGGAGGATTGGAATTTTGAAAATTATTTTCTTGTGTTTTGTTTATAATCAGTTTTGGTTGTCTAAAAACTGATTGTGAAAGAATAATTGGGCCGGGGAGATGGCTCCGTGGTTAAGATTCTTTGCTGCTCTTCAAAAGATCTGAGTTCAGTTCCCAGCACCCTATCTGACAGCTCACAAATGCCTGTGAGTACAGTTGCAAGGTATCTGAGGCCCTCTTTAGGCTTTTGCAGGCACCTGCATGCAACACACACACACACACACACACACACACACACACACACACACACACACACACTTTTTCAGTGAAGGGAAGGAAAGGGGGTTGGTGTCTATGGTTATGGTTAAGGAAAATGCTGAACAGGAAAAAAAAAGCCTTCTAAAAAGGAAATCAAAGCAATGTAATAAAAACTTCCCCAGCCTGATCTCAGAAAGGTCTATAGCTTCAAACCCTCCAGTTTTCTGTTCCTTTTACCGAACTTGAAGAATCAAGCAGTCGTTAGAACTCACAGTTGAAACTCAATATGAATCTTTAAAAAAATATATAGCTAGGGGTGGGACTCTCTGAAAAGATAAATAAAATTTTCCCGACGAATTCCAGGGGCCTCAATTATCTCCTACAATCAGGAGAACCTGGAACTGTAGAGCCCAAGTTGAGGGCTCTCAGCGCCCATTCTCCAAAGTGTCATTCGAGTGGGTTAGAGCTGCATATTAATTCACCATGCATACCTCCTGCTCCTTTTCAAGAGAATAAGCAATTACAGTGATTTACCCTTGAAATGTGCAGCTTGGTGCCAGGTTTTCAGCCTGAAGTAAATAAATGGTGAAATATGTTTAGCAAGTGATCACTCAGGCACCAGCGAAGAGATAAAAGAAGAAAAGATCTCTTCGTGATTAAAGAAATATATGAACACCAAGTTCTAGCAAAAGGGAAATAATTATAGACACTATAAGTGGGAATGAGGGATGGGGACAGTAAGTCTTTCAAGTTCTAAATGTCCACCTTGACCCTAACCCCACCCCTGCCCCACCCCGGGACAGATCTGTTGTTTCACCTTCCTTATGGAGGTTGCATTTTAAATTACTAGCAGCTCAGTGGCTTGGGGGAATTCTGTTGCCCCAGAAATGGCTCTGTCGCAGCCACTAAAGGTAAATCTTTATCATTCTACTAAAACTCCAGATTCAAAGGCTAGGGTGAAAACCTGCACGCTCAGAGAGTTAGAATAGCAACTGGCTAACTTTCTTTGCTGGCATCCCAGAAGCTACTCCCTTCCACATAGTCCCAACTAACAAAAACCACGCTAAGCTCCTCTCTGCTACTTCTTGTCAACCAGGTGCTAACCCACTTCTCTGAGCCCAGGTTAATTTTATTGAACGTAATACAACCCATACATCTTTACATAGTTAATAAATGCAGCATGAACAAATATAACACATCTTTGCCTGGTTAAACAAATGTTCCACAACACGGGTCAGTCTCTCAGGTACCTTTGGCTGTCCCATTTTCTAGACTGTCTCCATGTGGTAAGGGTTCAGCTTAGATTGCTGTGGCCTCAAGGCCAACGTGAGTGGTCAAGCCAGTGTTAGCTATTTGTGATATCTTCCTTAGATGGCTGTCAGAACTCTGGTAAGACTGCCACTTTCCAGCAGTTATGGGGTAAATACTGAAGTCGGAGCTAGCCAGTAAGAAACAAGCAAGGCCAACAGCTTCATAATTAATACAGCGTCTTGTGTGTTATTTGGGGACTACAACGCGGCAGAGCCCAGGCGACTGGCAGGGAAAAAACAAAAGCAGCAGACAAGGAAAAGGCTTCTCTTTACACACCACTACTCTTAGTTCAGAACTTCCTGAGTCTTAAAGGGATCTCTCTTCAGAGTGGGATGCTCCAGTTCAGAGGAAGTCGCTACACTACAGAATGTCCGCAAACCTGATTCTATAGGCTACTGTGCATTTATCTGTCTGTCAGTCTAAGAGTATCACACACACACACACACACACACACACACACACACACACACACAATGTATGTACATTTATGTTCATATACTTAAATACAGCCTGTTGCTCCTAGAATCATAAGAAAAAATAAGTTAAATGTATGAGGCCACTGGCAGTGGGTCCAAGATCTAAGTCTAATGTACAAACTGACTTAGTGGAACCCATTCTGTATAGAGATACCTTGCTCAGCCTAGACACAGGGGTGAGGGTGTGTGGGGGAGTGTTTTGGTCCTACCTCAATGAGACAAAGGGGCAGATTTAGGGACTTACTAGGGGAGTTCTTACCCTCTCCAAAGAGCAGATAGGGGGTGGGATGGGGGAAATGGGGGGACACAAACAGCACCCGGAAGCCCCTCCTCTCATGTCCTTTATTTTCATCTTCTGAGATTGGGTCTCGAGTAGTCTGTGTGGACCTCACACGTACTGTGTAGCTGAAGATAATCTTGAACTTCTGATCCTCCTGTTTCCACGTCCTGTGTGCGCGGATGGTAGACATGCATTTAAAACAAGATACATCCGTGTGTGTGCACACACTAGTGACCAAACCCAGGACTTGGTGCATGCTGGGAAAGTACCGTGCCCACTGAGCTACATATCCAGCACTTTACCTTTTTTTAAAATTTCATTGCCACGTGTGAGTTCTTGTCTCTTACCCTGTCTCTCTAGCCTCTCTCTTGTATACTCAATTTTTGAGGAAGGCGGAGAATGGGAAAACCCAGGACCCGGCTGCACTACTGAGACCAGATCCTACAGTTTCACAAGCTTTTGTCCCTGAGGTGTCCTAAGAAACAGAAATAAACACACACCCAGGCTCTTTTCTGTTTGCCTGATGCCTTCATGCTGGTGCTATTTGCTGTATTTTCAGACTGATACAATTTCTTCAAGGCCGATATTCAGGTAGTTGGGTTGAAGATCTGTTCATTCCCTTAAATGTCAGTATTTCAGAGCAGAATTGAGAGGACCTGTGCTAAAAAGAAAAGGCTAAGTAAGGGTTGATGTATCTCGGTGGTAGTGTTTAGCATGTACAAGGTTGGGATCAAACCCTGGGGTGGGGGTAGGGGCAGGGAAGAGCTTACAGGTTGGGGGGGGCAGGTAGTAAGGTTTTTGGATTGCTTATAGTAATTCTAAAATTCACATTTTCATTCCCATCAGGTAGAGTTAGCAAAAGCTGCCAGTGAAGGATCTCTGAAGCCATTTTTTGGTGTGTGTCTGTTTTCCTGGGTGCATGGAGGCTGCATGGCATTGTGTGCTGGAAAAGGCTCAGGAAGGCGCTTTTCCTGGCTCACTTTCCCTGTGCCTTCCGTCTTCCTGGTGTGGTGTGATGTGATGTCAACGCACCCGCCATCACATCTATGTTTGTGGGAACAGGCAAAGAACACTCTCGAAGGGTCTTTTAAGGACGTTTCCCTGGAAGCTGTCCAGCAACACTTCTCCTTGGTCACTGACCAGGGCCTATTTTCATGGCCTCTGGGAACTAAAAGGAAACTCGGAGTAATGTGGTCTTCTTCCTCGACCTTGTGTCCAAACATGGTGCTTAGATTTCTATGGAAGAAACGGACGGCGGAGTCCGCCAACAGTCTGGGCACTGCTATTTTCTAAACAATTGGGGGCTAAATAAACAAATAAATAAAAGTCCAGATCAAAATGTCTGTATTTATTTGACGATGACAGGATAAAGCTGCTGCTTTGGTGCGGGAGGTTTTGTGTGGGACTGATGTGCTTGTCTGAACTCCCTGGAAGCGCGGTCCTAAGCCACATTTCCCCAGAGACGGCAGGTCAGGCACCCCTACTCCCGGAGCCCAGAGAACAGTCAGCAGAGGCAGTCGCGGTAGGCAGACTCTTCGGAGCAGCTGCCAGCTTGCCATTGTCCCCTAACAGACATGTCTCTGTTACTTTGTGCTGTTGGACTCCAAGTACCCTCCCGAGGACTGCCTCCCCGTCTCAAGTTCAGATGCCTCTGTGGGGAGGTTCTCCCTGCTTGTCGGCTCAAATCTCCCTTTGTTTAGAAAGAATCTTCTCTCTTCCTCTGTCCTTGCCCTTTCCTTGCAACCACGGCCTCAAGAATGTGATCTTTGCACACAGAGTGCTTCAAGGGGCGGCTCCTACACTTGCTCAAGGAGAGATTTTGTTTGCCGCTGTTTCCTCTGCTCCTCCTCCTCCCTCTGCTCCTCCTCTAACTCCTAGCAAAAATACTTGATCCGGTGGACAGGTTTTTCTCAAGTGACTTTCATCAGGTCTCTAAATGTCAAGGAGAGGCTAGATTAAAGGTCTTAAGGCTGGGTGTGATACACATATTTCTTTTTTTTATCATTTTTTATTTTAATTTTAAATAGCTTGTTTTACATGTCAATCCCAGTTCCCTCTCCCTCCCCTCCTCCCGCACTCCCCTTCCCCCCCTCCCTCCCACCCTATTGCCAAATCCTTCCACATAGGGGATATCTAGAGTCTGTCATTTTACTCTTGGTAGGGTCAAGGCACTCCCCTAAGAGTCCAGGCTGAGAGAGCATCTCTCTTTGTGCTATAGGCACATGAAGACAGTTTGTATACCAGGGATAGACACTGATCCACAGCTCAGGGCCCCATAGGTTGCCCAGGCCTTCTCACTGACACTCACATTTGGGGGGTCCAGATCAGTCCCATGCTGGCCTCCCCACTGTCGGTCTGGGGTCCAAGAGCACTCCCCTGTTCAGATCAGCTACCCCCACCCCCTCAACTTCCTGTTCCCCCATGACCAACTCCCTTCCTCTTTACCCCCTCTATTCTTCCCAGGTCCCACTCCCCCCCCACCCCTCGCCGTGTTCCCCATCAGAGGATCTTGTCTCCATCCTCTTCTCTTGGGTACTATGCATATATGCATATCTTTTGGGTTCTTTCCTGTTTCCCAGACTCTCTATCTGTGGAAGTGCAGACTGGCACTATCCTGATCCATATCTAGAATCCATATATGAGTGAGTACATACCATGTTTGTCTTTTTGCGACTGGGTTACCTCACTCAGGATGGTTTCTTCCAGTGCTATCCATCTCCACTGCTGGTGGGAATGCCGACTCATACAGCCTCTTTGGAAATCAGTATGGAGATTCCTCAGGAAAATGGGAATTAATCTACCACTAGACCCAGCAATTCCACTCTTAGGCATTTATCCAAATGAGGCAGGTTCATACAACAAGGGCATCTGCTCCACTATGTTCATAGCAGTATTGTTTGTAATAGCCAGAACCTGGAAGCAACCTAGATGCCCCTCAACTGAAGAGTGGATAGAGAAAATGTGGTACATTTACACAATGGAGTATTACTCAGCAGAAAAAAACAATGGAATCTTGAAATTCGCAGGGAGATACACATATTTCTAATCCCAGCACTCAGGAGGCTGGAGCAGGAGGACCATGATTTGGAAGTCAGCCTGAGTGCAGGGCAAGATCTTGTCTCAGAAGGAAACAACTGCCCCCACCCCCCGCAATCATACAAAGGTATTAAAAAAGGAAAACAACAAAAAAATTCTAGGGCTTGAGAGATGGCTCAGTGGTTAAGAGCACTGGCTGCTCTTCCAGAGGACCTGAGTTCAATTCCCAGCAACCACATGGTGGCTCACAACCATCTGTAATGAGATCTGGTGCCCTCTTCTGACCTGCAGGCAGCCATGCAAGCAGAACACTGTATACATAATAAACAAACAAATAATTAAATCTTTAAAAAATTCTAAACTTCCATTGAACTGATAAGGTGCCCTGAGATCTGTATTTGGGGTGTCAATATTCTATTTACAAGTACTTTAATTTCATAATTGTGCATTAGATACAACTTGCTCTGAAAGAGGAGCACACTCGCCTCCTGAATTAGGTTTTAATCTCTACAGCAAGTGACAATTCAGTAGGACATCTAGATTGGGGCTCAAGACACTTTGAATGCTTAGCTGACTGTTGGGAACCTGTGCCCCATGCTGGATTACCCCACCCAGCCTTTGGGGGAGGGGCTCCGTCCAGCTTCAGCTTGATGTACCCTGCTATTTTCAAGCCCTTGGGAAGCCTGTGCCTTTCTGAACGGAGCTGGAGGAGGAGTGAGCAGAAAGGAGTACTCATATTCACAAACAGTATGAATCAGTGTGTCAACTCAACATGGAGAGAATATCTTTAATCGAAGCAGTGTTGCATTTAAGATGATATCAGCAGAGCTGGCCGAGGCGGCAATGCTGGAAATCCTAGCACCTGCGAGGCTGAATCGGGAGGATCATGAGTTTAAGGCCAGCCTGGGCAATGTGGCAAGATCCTGTATCAAAACAAAAACAAACAAGATCACAGACATAAAACTAAAAGGACGGGGCAGCTGTGTGCTGCAGGGGCAGTCGAAGGCTGGACAGACGAGCAGAGAGAGGAAGAGAAGCCCGAGGGAGGACCTCCGTGTCCAGACCTAACCCTTCATTCCTCTCCAGCCAGAACAGGGAAAGTCGGTTCTCAACTTTGGCCTGAGGATTACTCACAGGAGACTACAAAGAAACTGACAATTTATTCAATCCCACGGAATAGGGGGTCATTTGAGATCATTAGACCTCTTCAACATTTACATGTTATTTCAGGCTAAGAGGGGACAATTTCGCATGCTGGCCTTTGTCCTGCACCAAGAGGACTAACTGACTATGTCACCTAGTCACAGTAAAAGAGACAGCCTGTATAGTAACAGACTTCAGGGGCAGTCACACATAAATTACCTTGCCACACCTGGAAGCAGAATGTTACTGATAATTTTTACGATTATGATATGGTAATTTTTACATTTAATGTAAAAATAATATGATCATCGTTTTACATCTTCTCAGTGATAGAGATTTCTTATTTTTTTTTCTGTGTAGAATAAAAAAATAAGTCAGGTTACATTTTAAATAGCTAACCTGGGTGGGTCAGAATTGCTAGTGCTTAAAAAATGTGAACAACATTCTTAATATAGCTGTTTGTGACTGACCAGTGGCTGTGGCACCCAGGGGAAAACAATAGACGCACCCACTGTGTATCTGGAAACATAGAGTTTATTTTTCTTTCCTTTTCAAGTTAGATTTCAGAACATTACTGTTTTTTTTAAATAAGACATAATTTAAGGAGTTACTCAAAATTCTTCCTTTGAACAAGCTGCTGCTGCTGGGAAAACTAGGCATTTAAAGGCTGTTAAATAACACAAGAAATTCAACAAGCAAATCAGAGAAATGCAATTTATGCCTTCCTCCAAAATCCCTGTCTCTGAAATCAAATCTTAGTTTTCTGCCCGGCAAATGTTATGGGAATGCTAGATAAAAGTAATGGATTTCACGAGCAACCTTGGCATCCTATAAAAACTGATCTGTCAATCCCATCAGAGCAATGATATCTTAATATGATGCACATTCTACGTGTCAAGCCCTTGCTAAACGTTACAGCAGTGTCAGATTGACCCTTCAGAACAAATTGATATAAAGATCTTATAGGTGAGGCTACAAAGAGTTGGCGACCTAAAAAGTCTGGCTAATAAGCAAGGCGTAGATCTAAGGTTAAAACTGGCGCTGAGCCGGGCTTGAACCAGCAGGGCTGGATTCTCAGTGAAGGGCTCTAACAGGCCCAAGCGTTGGAAAGCATGGTGCCGGCAGGATTTGTCTTTTATCCTTCCCCGCTTTGTTAAAAACTGTGACTTTATGTCCTAAAGCTAGCCCCCAAAGTCCACTGCCTAAACATTTGGCCTCTTTCTCCTTCTGAGGCTGATTACCAGGGTCCAACTATCAAAGTATTGAAGTCCAGCAATCAAAAGCCCCCTTTTGGCTCACCTAATTAACATGCTCAAGCAAAACAAACCAACTCATCCTCTTTTCCCCCTTTTCCCTTTATAAACTACAATTTGCCTAAGGCCCATGTCTGTCTCCTCTCTATCCAGTGTCAGTCCTTTGTTCCCTCTCTGGGGCAAATGTCCCTCCCCCCCCCCTGTCTCCCCTCTCTCTTGTTCCTTTGTCCCTCTCCCTCATCTTCTGTCTCTTGTCTTTGTCTCTGATTCTCTGTCCTCTGTCCCTCTGGGGAAAATAAATCTCCTTTGAGCTGAGAAGTTGGTCTTGGTGTGTCTAGTGCTGACTCTGAACCTTTCTGACTCTCAGTACTGGAGAAGAGGAACAGGAACACCTTGAGTTCAAGACCAGCATGAGTTACATAGTGAGTTTGAGGCTATCCTTGGCTATATAGTGAGATCTTATCTAAGACCAACCAACTGAGCAACCAAAAAACACCAAACCAAAAATACCCACTTCTTCAGAAAACTTTTTTAAAGGAATTTCTTTTTTCTTTTCCATTTATTAATTTTTATTTTATATGCATTGGTGCTTTAGCCATGGGTGTCAGGCCCCCCTGGAACTGGAATCACAGATAGTTGTGAGTTGCCCATGTGGGTTGCTGGGAATTGAACCCAGATCCTCTGAAAGAGCAGTCAGTGTTCTTAGCCATTGAGTCATCTCTTCAGGCCCCGTTGCCCACCCCCTCTGAAAAGCTCTTGTACTATGTGATTACTAATGCCAATTCTGTGTTGCCCCATGGGGCATGTACTATACAGTGGATTTTACATGAGTGATTACTTCTGTGTAGGGGGATATTCCCTCACACTGTGATCCCTACACTTGTATTTGCATTAATTAAGTAAAATT